AGATTGATTCTCTATAGACCACTTAACTCCGGATACAATTTCGGTCACCTGTGGTTCCCAAAGCCCACTGTGTTGCTAACGTTGACAATTTAATTGGAGTGGGGTCGGGGTTGCGTTGTTGAAGTCATCGACCCCAATTTCTCCAACTTCAAATTGGGGTTATAGGTGGATATCTCTCAATCGCAATTAATTCCCCGTCGTTCTTTCTTTCTTCTTTATATTCAACTTCTCGCACATGTGCAATTGACATATCATGGCCCCTACATATCGTCTTTCCGTAATTCAGTGGCATATTAAAGTGGGTGTGCATCGAATTTGCCCATGCTCAACCTTTGAACCACGGAAGATGTGCAATCCCGTTGGAATCAGATTTGCTTATATTATCCTAGGAGCTTGACATTGAGTACAATCATACGAAAGCATGCGAATACATCACGGAGGCCGCTATCCAAGGCGCTGAGTTGGCCGTTCTCCCAGAGTAAGAACCATGTTATTAGACGTTCTGTCCAACGACACTCATCGCTCCCCCAAAACAAAGGAACACTTCCTGATTCAAGATAATCAGATACCATCTCAGCGGCATGGTCCCCACAGACCCCCTTTGGGCAGTCCAAGCCGGCCAATCTGCCCAGTACCTAGCAAAGTATCAAAGCCTGGCCAAAGATCTGCAAATCTGCATCGTACCGGGTACAATCATCGAAACACACACAGGGTCCGACCAATCAACCCTGTTCTACAATACAGCCTATTTTATCTCAAACGATGGTACTGTGCTCGGCTCCTACCGCAAGAAGAACATATGGCATCCGGAACGACCCCACCTCACCTCCTCAGGCCTAGAGCCCCATGTGGCCATCGATACCCCGATTGGCCGCGTGGGGATACTGATCTGCTGGGATCTGGCTTTCCCCGAGGCATTCCGGGAACTGATCGTCGACGGGGCACAGATTGTGATTGCGCCTACATACTGTGAGATGGATTCCTCCTAACTTGTACGGGTATGTGGTGTCTGATCTTAGTGAAATTTCTTCCAGGGACCCCTCACGACGCCTCCCTCGAGGCCCGCGCGTATAACCCAGATTCTGAAGCCCTGTTCCTCGAGTCGACCATAACATCACGTTGCTTTGAGAATACCTGTGGTGTTGTCTTCGCCAACGCTGCTGGGCCATCGGAGGATTTCTTAGGCTTGTCGCAGATTACCCTTCCACTGGTGGGGCCGATCGCTAAGATGGGGACTGAAGATGGATTCATCGTTGCCGATGTGGACGTGGGGGCCATTGAGGCTGCTGAGAGGAATTACAAGGTGCGAGAGGACTTGAAGAAGGTGGATTGGCATTATGTTTATCGGCATACCAGGCGGAATTAGACAGTAGTCAACTGAACTAATTGTCTCTTTCTTTTTGTGATACTGCCCTAGTTCCCTGTATGGAGGCTTCGTTTCGGAATTTCACCTTGTACTTTGGGCCTGGTATCATCGCTCTATCGAATAGAACATTAAAGGGAATAGCAAATAAACTCATAACTAATAAAGTGGTGCGCCAAGATATTTACGAAGAAAGGTGATTCGACAATGTCAACACCCAGGATGTTGTTGGTGAAACCTCGGGAGGCTAGCCGCATGACTGGCGGATACGCTACTCCGAACACAGTCTAGCGTCAGGAGCTTATCTGCAGCCCCGGGGCACTTCTATAGATCTCAAGAGTACACTTATTTTGAACAAGACTGACGTGTATTTCGAAGTGCAGGTGGGCTCAATTCTGAAAAAAAAAGGACCGCTTGGTTTTTGTTGAATACTGGTTTGCAAGATACGGTTATTCATTCTTGCGCCTACAAGACGACGGCTTCAGATGTAACAGACCTTGAGCGTCACATGCGGGGATAGCTGTGGAGGGGGTATCATCTCATGTGATATTGAACAACTGGGTGAGTCCTATTGTTTCCCATCGTGCCTTCCCAAACGGTAGATCTGCCACCTATATA